TGCTCACTTCAGGCAACAGCAGCAAACAAAGTTAGTGGTGGAAAGGAAACAATGCAATAGGGCCATGTGTTTCAAGTAGATGTAAAAATTAAGTGCTAGAGGTACTCATACCTTGATTCATCGTACAGTGATTTCCCATCCTAGCCCTCTTCTCAAGCCCTTGTGTCTCACATTATACAACTGAGCCAACAAGTGGGCCTATACAGGTTTTAAAGTTAATAAATATCACCACTGATCTGAATATGAGTAGCCTATTGACAACACCAGTGTTCTTTCTCCCCTAAAAGTAACAATAAAGTCAGATTTTTTTTAAATGTTCAAGTAAAATAAAATAATGAAGCAAAACAAAAAGGGACAAGTGTGGATTAATCCCAAATTCTAAGTGTAAGAAAGAAAAATGAATGCACAAGGCAATAATTCATTCATTCAATCAATCAGATGTCCATCAGTCTGTCTGGCCATCATGACATCTCTCCATCAGTCCATCTGTCCACCACCCCATCTACCCAGAGTCTCTCAGTCAGTCAACAGGTGCTTACCGATACTCCTCACACACTATAGCCAGAAGTAAGGCTGTACTGATGAAGGACTTGGTCCCTGCCCTTACTGCACTCATAGTCCAACCTCAGTTTACTCATTTGTAAAATAGCAATAAATTAGAAAGGCTAACAGTGCCAAGAGCCTATTACATACAGGCACTGTGCTGAAGGCTCTAGGAACTCAGTCTGCTGCACAGGTGGCTCTGAGGACAGCAGGTGCCTTCTGAGCCCATGACCCATAAGGGTAAATCCCTTCTCTCAGGTCTAATTCTGGCTTTCTTTATCCAATCCTTTCCTCCTGTGCACCCTCACTTGCTCCAGCCCATGCCTGTCCCGGTGTCCCTAGGTGTGCTACCTGCTCACATACCTTTATCCTGTGTGCAGCTGTCCCCGACCTGGTGGGCCTTTCAACATCCATCTGAAAGACTCTGGTTCATCCTTTAAGGTGCTAAAATGATACAGTTCTGGGACCACCCCCCAGGTCTCACTGAGTTCTCCCAGCCCTGGCTGCTACACAGGACCTGCCACATCACTCTGGGCTCTATATCCACCTTGCACAACGGCAAGCAAAAGAGACCATGTGGTATTTTTTTCCTCCAAATCCTCAAGCTAGGCACATCACAGAGAGATCAACTGCTACTTCCTGGGTTCACACGTGAAGCATTTTATGATCATCATCTCATATAATTTAATGCTCACAACTTCTACAAAGAAAGGCTTATCCCCATTTTATATATGAGGAAACTGAGGCATAGAGAGAGGAATAATTTGCCCAAGATCACAGCCCAGGGTTGCTGGCTGCAAAGACAGTTAATGTGTGTTGAAATACATTTTTTAGCAGGAAGACCTACAGGCAGTAGAACAGGTGGTTTCAGCATCACCTGAGCAGCCCCCAGACGCAAGTCCACACTCCTCCACTCCTGGAGACCTCCTGCCTGAGGAAGCTGTGGTGTATGGAAATCTGAGCATAAAAGGACTAGAAGATGCTCATACTTGTCTTTTAACAAATACGTATGTATCTACAAATAGCCTTGTGCTGGCTATTGGGAGGATGGGGGGATGGGGAGGAGAAGGGAAGAAATGAAGATGGGAATCAGGGCCCCTGCATCCAGGTTGCTGAGGTGCTACTGGGAAGTGAGGCTGTGTGAGCAGCGGGTCCTGGTGGATTTCAGGGCTGGCACTCCAGCCCCCAGCATCACATCTCTGCTATGATATGGTAGCAGAGGGGTCACTTCTGCACAGCTGGCTAGTGCTTGACAATAAAGGAGCACAGGACTGGGCAGGGCCACTGCACAGCAGGGCGAGGGCTGCTGCTTCAGCCATCCCTGCCAGGGCTCAGGACGGACTGGGGGTATGTGGCCTCCCAGGAAGGAGCACCCAGGCTGGGTCTGAGGACAGCAGGTTGTGAAGACCAAGAAGACTGCGGGAGGGTCTTTGTGTAGGGAGGGTGTGAAGGCCCAGGGGCCGGAGACATCTGGCCACGTGGGCCCATGAGACGCATCACAGGGAATAAGCTGAGGCAGGAAGACTAGAAGACCAGGTGGTCTTGAGCGAGCCCAAGGGTAAAGTCCTTGTCAGAGGCTATAATACCTGAGACAGTTCAGGGCCCCACCCCTCCCCTGTGTGGGCCACCTCTGCCTTAAGGGTCACTTCTGATCTTACCTCTCATCTGCTGACTGGAACCTTCTTGCTCTACACCGGAACCCCTGAGCTCTATTCCCACTGCTGCCAGCCAAGTCCTGTTTGAAGAGGCAGACGCTTCCCTGGAGCTCTAGGTGGAAATCAGCCTCCTGGCAGGTGCCTCGCGACTTGTCAGGTCACTAAAAAAGGTCATGTGTTTCTGGCTGCCTCCGAAGACCTCAGCTTCTCTGACACTTTATTCTCCATCCTCCTTGTCCTGTGGACTCCCACACAACATCCCCGCCAGAGCAAAGCAAGTGTGTCTCCACCACCAGCACCACCAGGGACACGCAGTGATGCCTGGCGGACCGAGGCCCCGCTGCATTGTGGGCACATCCTTACTTAGCCTCCTGAAGAGGAATAAACACGCTGGCCGCCAGATGAGAAAACACAGGCGGCTCCCACTCCATGCACACTGCTCATGTGGAAGAAAACCTCAGGCCATTGGGAAGGCCCAGTCCCTCCTCTCCCCTCACCCCTTGCCTCTCCCCACTCCATGAGGCCCTGGCTCTGATGCAGAGAGCCAGGGTATCCAGCTTTCTGGAAACTTCCTTCCCCATTTATTTTCTACAGCTGCCCCTGACAAGCTCTTAACCCCTTCTCACTGAGGCTAAATCTCTTCATCCTCCCCTCCAGGTTCAGAGCTGCTGTTTTTAGGCAAATAATAAGCCAAGTTCAGGATTAAACTCAGGCCAACAGCCCAGCAGGGTCCTCTCTTCCCACTCTCTCCTGGGCAGTGTCCTCTGGAGGCTCCAGCAGGGCCTGCATCCAGCCCCACGTGCCTATGAAGGCCTGCTGACCCTGGGGAGTCGCTCAGGCAGGGTTGTCCTCTGGGGCTGCCCAATGCCACACAGCTGATGCCCGTAGCCAGGCCATGCCACCAAGTCACAGGTCCACAACTGCATACCCCACATGGCATGCCCTCACAGACCCCACCTGGGTCCCCTTCTTACCAGCTCTGAGCCCCCACCAGGGCACAGAGACTCCCGGCATTCCGCATCCTTGCAGGCACTTACGCTGTGTGTGTTTTGGGAGGTGGGGGTGGGGATGGGGGACAGCGCAGAGATCCCAGCCCTTCTCAGATTGCCCCTCAACTCTCCAAAGATCCGTGCTGGGATTTCTCACCTGGCACCCCTCACTGCAAGATCCAGTCTGAGGCCCAGGGCAGGGAGCACCCTAGGCAGTCTCTAAAGGCTTGACATGTACTGTCTGACCCCTTCCCCCAGCTAGAAACCCCTGGGACCATTTCCTGCAATTTCTCCAGGGGATCAGGGCAGTCATCGCGGCCCTCGCTGATCCCCTCCTGCAGAGTCCATCACCACCGGCCAAGGCGAATGATGCTCGCTTCACGCCTCCCGGAGGCGGGGACTGCGCTTGGGTCCTCGCGGCCCGCACAAGGGGGCCCACACAGGCCACAACACCCAGTGCGCCCCGGGCCGCTAGGCCGCGGGGACTGGGGGACCTGCGGGGTTGGGGGGCCGCGGGCCCATCATGGCCCCGGTGCACTCGCGGCAGTCCTGCAAGCAGCTGACCGCCTCCCAATTGCTGCAGGCCTTCAGTCCCGCTGCCAAAGCCTGCAGTGAGCGGCTGCTGACAAACTCCTTCGTCGTCCAGGAGGACCCGGGCGAATCTGCGGGACGAGCGGAGAGTGAGCTGGCCGCAGGCACAGGCGCACGCGGAGGGCGCGCAGGAGCTAGAGCCGCAGCGGGCCCGGGAGCACCTGCCCCTCCCGCAGGTCCTCCAAGGCTCCCCGCCTGCTGCGCCGTCACCTAGGCCCTGCCACCGCCAAGCTGCGCGTGGTCCCTGGGAACACCTCTCCTGCGGTCCCTCACAGGCCTCATTGTTCCTCCTGACCCCGCCGGAAGTGCGCACTCGGTTCACCACTCTCACTGTTTCAGTTTACACGCACAGGATCATAAGTCAAACTACCTCCTCCGTTACACAAAAATATTTCACACATCTCTTGCATTTTTAATTTTTAAAATCCTACTTCCATTGATTTTGGGCGCTAGACAAAATAATGGCTCCCAAGATGTCGTGGTCCTCACCCTTGGAACCTGAGAATATGTTACCCCACGGGGCAAAAGGGAGTTTACAGCTGTGATTAAATCAAGGACCTTGAGAGGGACAGATTATCTTGCATTAGCCCACAGGCCCAGTGTAATCTCAAGGGTCCTTCTAAATCAGAGGGAGGCAGGAGCTGTGACGATGAAGCAGTCAGGGTGAGGCAGCAGGATAAAGACTCAGGCAGGCGCTGCTGCTCGCTGTGAAATGGGGGAAGGGAGCAGGAGCCCAGCAATGGGGAGGTCTCCAAAAGCTGGAAAAGGCAAGAAAACGGATTCTCCCCGAGGACCTCAGGAAGGAGGGCAGCCCTGCCCGCAGGGCACTTTTCATCAGTCAGATTTCTCACCTGGCACCCCTCACTGCAAGATCCAGTCTGAGGCCCAGGGCAGGGAGCACCCTAGGCAGTCTCTAAAGGCTTGACATGTACTGTCTGACCCCTTCCCCCAGCTAGAAACCCCTGGGACCATTTCCTGCAATTTCTCCAGGGGATCAGGGCAGTCATCGCGGCCCTCGCTGATCCCCTCCTGCAGAGTCCATCACCACCGGCCAAGGCGAATGATGCTCGCTTCACGCCTCCCGGAGGCGGGGACTGCGCTTGGGTCCTCGCGGCCCGCACAAGGGGGCCCACACAGGCCACAACACCCAGTGCGCCCCGGGCCGCTAGGCCGCGGGGACTGGGGGACCTGCGGGGTTGGGGGGCCGCGGGCCCATCATGGCCCCGGTGCACTCGCGGCAGTCCTGCAAGCAGCTGACCGCCTCCCAATTGCTGCAGGCCTTCAGTCCCGCTGCCAAAGCCTGCAGTGAGCGGCTGCTGACAAACTCCTTCGTCGTCCAGGAGGACCCGGGCGAATCTGCGGGACGAGCGGAGAGTGAGCTGGCCGCAGGCACAGGCGCACGCGGAGGGCGCGCAGGAGCTAGAGCCGCAGCGGGCCCGGGAGCACCTGCCCCTCCCGCAGGTCCTCCAAGGCTCCCCGCCTGCTGCGCCGTCACCTAGGCCCTGCCACCGCCAAGCTGCGCGTGGTCCCTGGGAACACCTCTCCTGCGGTCCCTCACAGGCCTCATTGTTCCTCCTGACCCCGCCGGAAGTGCGCACTCGGTTCACCACTCTCACTGTTTCAGTTTACACGCACAGGATCATAAGTCAAACTACCTCCTCCGTTACACAAAAATATTTCACACATCTCTTGCATTTTTAATTTTTAAAATCCTACTTCCATTGATTTTGGGCGCTAGACAAAATAATGGCTCCCAAGATGTCGTGGTCCTCACCCTTGGAACCTGAGAATATGTTACCCCACGGGGCAAAAGGGAGTTTACAGCTGTGATTAAATCAAGGACCTTGAGAGGGACAGATTATCTTGCATTAGCCCACAGGCCCAGTGTAATCTCAAGGGTCCTTCTAAATCAGAGGGAGGCAGGAGCTGTGACGATGAAGCAGTCAGGGTGAGGCAGCAGGATAAAGACTCAGGCAGGCGCTGCTGCTCGCTGTGAAATGGGGGAAGGGAGCAGGAGCCCAGCAATGGGGAGGTCTCCAAAAGCTGGAAAAGGCAAGAAAACGGATTCTCCCCGAGGACCTCAGGAAGGAGGGCAGCCCTGCCCGCAGGGCACTTTTCATCAGTCAGACCCATTTCAGACATTTAACTTCAAGGACCATAGGATAATACATTTATGCTATTTTAAGCCAAGTTTGTGGCAATTAGTTACAGCACCAACTGGATACTAATTCAGACTATAAACAATGTTTTCCTTCATGTTTTAGCCACAGTCTGTACAGTGCCTAGCAATGTCTCTGGCCTTCCTCCACCACAAGCCTCCAGCTCAGTTCTGGCTTTCTCCTTTGCCATAATCCAAAACATCAAAGTAGAGGGTACAGCTTTCCCCAACTCCCTTTTTCTGAACACCGTCCCACTAGCCTTGTTTTTAAAGTCTGTTTTTAAATAAGTTACTGTTTTATAACAACTGCTAGGAACAAAAACTTTAGGGAACTCTTCCTCTCTATTCTCAGCCAAACCCCAGAACCAGGCACTAAAGTCAAGGTTCAATGACTAAAGTCATCGGGCTGGGTAGCTTCCTCTAACCACCTCAAACTTAAAAGAATCCAAGAAAGTAACAGAAATTACGGCCTCCTTGGTCCACTCAGCTGAAGCCCCAGGTGCTGGAGACTGATCAACAGTGACAGCAGTTACAGGTCTTGGTTCATCAGTTATTCTCCATCTACTGAGTGTCATCTACTGGGAGAATTATATGGCTTTTCTCCTTTACACTGTTAATATGGTGTATCATATAGATTAACTTTCAAATGTTAAACCAAACTAACATTCCTGGATAAACCCCACTCAGTCACTATGTAGTATCCTTTTTATATTTTACTGTATACGATCTAATATTTTGTTCATAAAGGATATTAGTCTCATAATGTCTTTGTTTTTGGTGTCAGAGCAGTGCTCCGATAAAGAGTCTCCTTTATTTCCTGAAACAGTTTGTATAAAGTTAGCATGTTTTCTTTTTTAAAATACTTGAGGAATACAGCAAAGTTGCACGATACAAAATTAACACACAGAAATCTGTGGCTTTCCTATACACTAACAATGAACCAATAGAAAGAGAAATCAGGAAAACAATTCCATTCACAATTGCATCAAAAAGAATAAAATACCTAGGAATAAACCTAACCAAAGAAGTGAAAGACCTATACCCTGAAAACCATAAGACACTCTTAAGAGAAATTAAAGAGGACACTAACAAATGGAAACTCATCCCATGCTCTTGGCTAGGAAGAATTAATATCGTCAAAATGGCCATCCTGCCCAAAGCAATATACAGATTTGATGCAATCCCTATCAAAATACCAACATTCTTCAACGAACTGGAACAAATAGTTCAAAAAAAAAAATACTTGATAGATTTTCACTAGAAATGCCAAATAAAGCTATTCAGATTTTCTTTAATGAGTCACTCTTGGTAACATGTATCCTTCAAGAAATTCATCTATTTCATAAATGTTGTCAAACATACTAGCATTACATCCATAGCACATCAATAACAATAATAACAATTGTGTTTAATTTTATCTTTCTGATGTCTATAGGATCTGTAGTAATGTCCTCTCTTTTAGTCCAGATACTGGTGCTTTGTGTCTTTTTTTTCCTGATTAACCTATCTAAAGGCTTATCAATTTTCTCTATCTTTTGAAAGAAAAAATAGGTTTTGGATTAGTTATGTTTATTGTTTGGCTCTTTTTTTATTTTACTGATTTCTGCTCTCATTTTTATTATTCTTTCTACTTAGTTTGGATTTGATTTGTTCTTTTTTTTCTAGCTTCTCAAAATGGAAATTTACACTCCTGACTTTGGACCTTCTTCTTTTCTAATAAAAACACTTAAGGTATAAATTCTCCTCGGAGAACTGATTTAGTATATACCACAAATTTTGATATGTTATGTTTCATTTTGATTTGTTCAAAATATTTTCCAGTCTCCCTTGTGGTTTCTTCTCTGACCTATGAATTATATGTGTACTATTTGGGGTCATTCTAGATTTTTTTGTTATTAATTTCTAATCAAAGAACATACTTTGTATGTTTTTAATCCTTTTATATGTCTTGACAAATGTTCTGTGTGTAATTGAAAGAATGCATTCAGCTATTGCTGGGCAGATTGTTCTATAAATGTCATCTAAGTCAAGTTCATTAGTAATATTGTTCATAAAAATTCTGTCTTTTATCTATTACTCAGAGAAAAGGACTGATGTCTGCAACTGTAATTTTGGATTTGTTAATTTCTCCTCTCATTTTTGCTTCATGTATTTTGAGGCTATTTTATTGAGTCCATATACATTGAGATTATTATATCTTCTTGATGAGTAGACTGCTTTATCATTATGAAGAGTTCCTCTTTATTTCTGATAATATCCCTTTTTCTAAAGTCTATTTTATCATATATTAATATATCCACTCCAACTCTCTTATAGTTTATATTTGTGGGTATAAATTTTTCATTCTCATACTTTTAACCTATTTGTCTTTATATTTTAAGTAGTTTCTTGTGGAAAGCATCTAGTTCAATCTTGAATTTTTATCATGTCTGACATTCTCCAAATAAAATAGGAATGTTTAAGTAATTTACACCTAACGTAATTATCAACATCATTGAGTTTGAAACTATTATCTTGCAATTTTTTTCCTCTATTCCATATGTTCTTTCTCTTTTTCCTCTCTCCTATCTCTTTTTATTAACTGAATAACTTTTGGTATTCCATTGTTAGAATTTTAACTATGCCACTGTTACAACTTTTTAGTAATTTTTTTGTGATCTAAAATATGCGTCTTTAACTTAATATATTCTTCTCTCAAATAATGTTACACCACTTCTCAAATAATATAAGACTCTTACAACTATATACTTCCATTTCACTCTCCCATCCATTGTGCTGAGATACATATATATATGTATGTATATATGTGTGTGTGTATCTTCTATATATGTTATAAACTTCATTGCCATTTTTACTCTAAACCAACAATTTATCTTTTTTCTTCAACATTATTGAGGAAAATTTTTGCACTCATCCAAAGCACACCATTTAAAGAGTTTGACAACTGTACATACCCATGAGAATAACACTACAATCAAACTACAGAACACTTCCAACACCTTCCAAAAAATGCCTCCTGCCTTCTCGTAGTCCACCTGTCCTCCACCCCCATCTCCAGGCAACCAGTAACCTGCTGTTTGTTACTAGCAATTAGTTTGCCTTTCATGTAAATGAGATTACACAGTATGTTTTGGTCTTCTTTCAATCAATATACAGTCTTTAGATTCATCCACAGCACACCATGTTTTGACTGCTCCTTTTTATTGCTGACTAGACTTCCATTCTATGCAATGCATCTATCACATTTCATTTTGCATTCACTGTTGATGAACACTTCGGTGGTTTCCAGTTCAGGGCTATTACAAATAAAACTGCTATGAAAACTCATGTAAGTCTTAATCTCACTTCAGGAAACATGCAGGAGTGAAATGACTGGGTCATATGGTAGGTATATTTTTAACTTTTTAAGATATTGCCAAACAATTTTCCACAGTGGTTCTGCAATTTACATTCCCACCAGCAGTGTGTGAGAATTCTAGTTGTGCCACATGCCTGCCAACAGCGGGTCTTTGCAGCCTTTTTCATTTTAGTACAGATCATTCTAGTGGATTTGTACTGGTATAGCTACATGGTCTGAACTGGCATTTCTCTAATAACTAATGATCACAAGCATCTTTTCATGTGTCTGTTTGCTGACTATTCGTATATCTTCATTCGGTGAGTATCTATTCATATCTGTTGCCCATTTCTACTGGCTTGCTCATCTTATTTTTAGTTGAATTGTATATTTAGTGTTCTTTACACATTCTGGATAACATCCCATTGTCAGATGTATGTATTATACACACTTCCTCCCATTCTGTGGCTTGCTTTTCCATTTCCTTAGTGGCAAAAACAAATTTGGCTCAAGGTAGTTACTGTCTTCCATCCATTGAATCACCTTGTGATATCTGAAGATCCTTGTTTCCTCAATGAAACCTGCACATGCCAAAGATGCTCCACTGGGCCTTGTCCTACAGCAAACAGGAATGACTGCCATCCAACCACATAATTGAAATCCCTGAGAAAACTGACAAAACTGGAAACCAGCATTTATTTAATCAGCACTGACATGAAAAGAAACCTAATTGCATTGAGCAACAACTATCAGCAAAGGGCTTCTAAATTTGTCATCTTACTTAGTCCTTGCAGCAGCCCTATGAAATGGGAAATCATATCCCTACTTTACAGATAGGGAAACTAAGGATTAACTGGGGTTACATTCCTAAGAATCTCACACACTGCTGGTGGGAATGTAAAGTTGCACAACCACTTTGGAAAATTGTGCGGCAGTTTCTTAATAAGTTAAAAGGCAAGGATGTGAGGGGTGAATGA